TCTGAACCCATGGCTTTGGTGTTATCAGCACCGCACTCTCCCGAGTGAGCCATGGGCCGGCCCTGATAGACAGCCTTTTTTACCCCCCTCTCCCCCAGCTGGCTGGGAGGAGATGCTGGAGAGCAGGAGGCTCTGCGGGGGTGGGGTGGACCATGAGATGAGTGGCTTGGCACGGTCTCTTGTGCTCTGGAAACGTCTGGCGAGAGACCAAATGGTAAATAAGGGTATGCTGGAAGATGAAGTGTGTGGGCATGTACAGAGCTGGCGGGCCTGGTGGGGGATGGATGGCAAGTGGACTTTGTCTGCTTGGCTGTTGTGGTCCTGGCCAGTCCTCAGTGTGAAACTAAATTCAAGGAGTTTGTGTTTTGTGAGGGTATGGGCTGGTCAATCCTGGTGATTCATTAGATCCATAGCAGGCTCTTTGATGAAAGAACGAGCAAATGAACGAATGAACGAAGAGCGAGGGGAAGCCATGGAAAGCCTGAAACTGTCCCCCTCCCTCCTCCTGGGATGACTGTGTGGATGACTCACGTCCTGCTGCCCCCTCACTTTCTCAGCCTAAAACAACACGTCCTGGGGTGTGGGGACGGTGGGCTGACCCTTCCTCTTCTGCCGCAGGATCTTCATTATACACAGTTCCTGAGTTCCTGGCAAGTGGCCTTTCTTCACTGTTTAAGAGCTGAGAAAGTCGGGCCTTAAAAACCAGGAAGCCCCAGTTTAGGTCTCCAGGAAGGTCTTTATGAAGAAGTGGTTCAAGAATGCTGTGATATCCTGAAGCCTACTCAAAGAGAACCAGAAACACCTCGGTCATTTCAGGCTCTCAGAACTGTGCTTCTGTTCCCTCTGTCTGGGTCCTATACCCCATCACACCCACGTGAACTCAAAACCAAAGGGAGGGACTAGGCGATGAGCAGCGTGGGAGGAGGCACATAAAGTCTGGAGTGGGTGGGCCAATCCCCCACTGCTGTATAAGCAGAGCAATGGACTGACCAGTTTGCCTGGCACAACCAAAATCTGCCTCTTTCTTGCTGTGGGATGTTGGCCTCAGACCAGTCTCTACCAGTGAGTGTCCACATCAAAGCTTGGCTGTCTGAGTGTTTGAAAACACCCCTGCCTCTACCTTCACCACCCCACCCCCAGGTCCTCAGCTTCCCCAGGACCTTGTGGCAGCACAGCCATGGATACT